CCAAATTTAAGCTTCTGCAATGTATTACTATTAACGGATTCTTATACTTAATTAATGCCCACAGAATCTAGTTAAGACTCTACAAAAATTCTTAATTAAGCATGCAGAGAGCTGTCTTTGGGACAGTAGTTTCAAGCTTGTATATACTCAGCTAGTAAAGGCTAAAAATGAAGCACATATTACCTTATCATATGAACTCAGAAACTTGGATCTGTGGTGTTCGTTCACTTCATGGCCATTTTAAAATCAGTCTCGGGAGGCTCCCAGGATACAGTTTCAAGTACCAAGCTGTAGAGGAAGTGCTGTTCAACTTGCTTAAGGATTGTTAACATCAATTCGTCAAATTGATTTCTATTTCTTGTTTTCCCCAGCTTTCCGAAAGGGTCTCCTCTTTGCCTTTTTTCATGGCACGCTGAATGATGTAATTCTGGCTGTGTTCTCCATTTGTGAGTGTCAATAGCCAGGAAGATTTATAGCTCAAGGATAAAAAACTCCTCCAGCTATGGTCTCCTCTTGTCCTTCAGTCTGGTAGTCAGAATGAGGGAATTAATTTTAAATTGACTGTAACGTTGAATTTAACTAACGTTGAATTACAAATTCAGAATGTTACATCTTTGCTACATATGTTCCAATATATAATAGTTTGTGCTAGTCAAAATGATAAGGAAAAAACCTCCAAATTTTTCAAGATGAGTTACAAAATTTTTACTTGGTGTTTCTTATTTGTGGTGATGCTGTGATAAAACCTAAAAACATGTTAAAATGTTCTCCTCTCTATATTACTGCTTATAGTAATCCCCTAAAGCAAATTTATTCATTTATTTTCTTACCTATTTTTCTTTCATGTTGGGAAATTTTAAACTTGATCTAAGAATATATCTGAAGTTCCAACGTTAATAAATGAATGCCAAGTAGGATCAGGCTCAAACGCAGCTACATTAAAGCACAGAGTCCTTAAGTCACATGATTCAAATTTCTTGAATTTCCTGTATTTTTCATCCACTAATTTATTTTCTGGGACCACGCTTTACCATTGCTACACAAGTTAATAGTATCTGTAAATGCTCCATACATAAAATGAAGCTTGTCCATATTCTTGTGCAGTGGGAAAGTGCATCTTAACAAGCAAATGAACCATTTGGTTCACACAAAAGACAAATTAGCACTTTATTCATTCACAGCGTACATAGATCCTACACGTGTACATTCCTCCTTGCGCCGCGACTGTCCTGGAGTTGTTTTCTCCTATCTCCTACCTATTTGAAGGATGCCAGCATTGTTACATTACTAAAGTAACCCCAACATTACTGAACTAAAATAGGTTCTAGATCCTATTAGGTGATGAGCCCAAATATCTCTATATGCCCCATGTCTCGTGCACAAGACACAGACTTCCATGCTTTGCTGTATTGGTAAGCTGTAAATAAAATTACTATGTTCTTCTTCCTTGGTAGGTATCACTTCTCTGAGCTGTAATTCTGAATGAATTATTATTGAACTGACCGATGGGTTTCATAATAAAAGAGAAAGGGCTCTTAATAGGAAACTGAGCGAAAAAAGATGTTTCCTAATTTTTTTTTTTCATTTTCATTTGGTAATATGTAGAACTAGCTGTGATACCTACAAAAAGCTTATGGTGAGTTTTCTGCATTTTTAAATAGTCTCCTCAAAACACCCTGCATTTACCATTATTATGTGAGATTTGGATCACTACCTTTCTGGTTGGTTCCTGCAGAAGTGGCACAAGAGCAGAATATGACAGATCCAGAAAAGAGATTTCATATTACTATTGCCTTTTTAGAGCATTTTAAGCTTTATTAGCAAAACACTTTCAACTTTGAATTGAGTGATGGAGCTCCTTGGCATTATAAAACAGCTTTCAAAACCACTGTTTTAGTTTCCAAGATGAAAAAGCTTAATACCAAAATCATTTGTTTCCAACTATAACAGTATCTGGCATAACGGGATATTGTAGGAATAATTCCCAGCTCTTGGTGAGTGTGGATGGTTTTCTCTTCCACAGTAAGAGCGGAGGAATGCAGTGGAAGGGTCAGTTTTGAGCTCGGCAGAAAGCGGCGTATGTGATTTTAGGCAAGTCATTCAAGACTATGTCCAAAAAAGGCAGCAGGCAACACTTACAGTGCATAACTTCAGGATCCAGTCTCCTCTTACAGTGCAGGTGGAGGGCTGCGTGTCTTAGGAAGCAATCCAACACAACCGGGGAGCTGCCTAAATCTAGCTAGCAGAGAGATCAGAGTGATCGCTGAGAACAGTAACTGGACTGAGCGCCTGTGAGGTACCGTCTCCTGCCTCCTGCTGAGACAGAAAGTTGTGGTCAGGTGCAGAAGCACAGAGCTAGACGTCCGGGGAACTGAAAGCCCGAACCCCTCCCAAACACTTCAAACACACATTTCTCAAATTTCAGTTCCTTCAGCATTAGGTGGCAGCTGACAGGGCTTTTAAAAGGATCAAAAGTTTGGATTTATATGCTTAAAAGTTCTGTGTCCCACATTAGGCATTACAGCTAGCTCAGCAATCCAGCAGCACTGAACTCTGCAAGCTAATTTCTCATTTTACCTCAGCTATTTCAGTGTTACCCTGTAATGTGCAGAGCAGGTGTGTGCTAAATCCTTTATGATCTGGCACATAACCATTCTGCATTCATTCCTTTACCTGTAAAACAGGAGTAATAGTTCCCTACCCATAGGAATACTGTAAGAATAAATACATAAATGTTTTTGGAAGTATTCAGGTAATACAGACACTGGCATTGTAAAATCAGCTGTAAGTACAGCTGTGCTATACAAGGTCTAAACAGTTCAGTGATCTAGAAGATCAAAAACCACTTTCGAGGGAAGGAAAATTAGGCATATAGTGTCTTTCTAGACCACCATTTGAATTCCAGTTGAGGCCTTTTAGCTATCATTGAAGTCATTACATGTAATTACACTGTAGACTGTATTAAGAATTGGTAGTTTATTCTAGTTCAGAGGAGGCAACACAGTAAATACAGAAACAGTTTTCTTAATACTAGGGTACATTTGTTGATGGAGCTAGGGGATTAATTTTGAGTATGGAGTCTGACGCATTTCCCAGAAGAGATCTTGTCAGAGTTGAATTCTATGATTCCGTGATTCTATTCTGTGATTCTATGAATGTCAGACAAGTAAGTTTCTGGTGGTATTTTCCAAAAACCAGTTCCTTCAGCATACATGAAGATAAAAATCCATCGCCATTTCTTGATCACCTTCAGTGGAGATACATTTATTTCTTAACAACTACACAGTATTGAAATCGGGAGCCTTCTTTACTAAGCAACTCTTCTCTGTGACTGGTGGTCAGCAGAAGCCACAGTGTCAGAAAACAAATGCCGGAGGCAGAGGTGGGCACGGCCTGGCAGCCGGCCCCTAGCCCCACTCCCGGCTGTATGCCTCCTCAGGGCTTCTCCGACTCATTGCCAGAAATCTGTCGCTGTGGTGGTTCACTGCACATGGGGTGGCCGGTGCAAGTGCAGAGAAACGGGTGGCTCATCCGTTGATGGCTCCTCCTCATTTCCAGGAGCCGGGGGGCATGAAACGTACTGGCAGTTCACAAGCTGAAAATAAACCAAAGTGGGCACCTCCTCACGCCGTGCGTATTCAAGGTGTAAAACTGCACCGTGCAAACCGGATGCGGAAAGTTTATGCGAACTGTAAAATAAGAGAAATTAATGTGCAGCCCTTAGTGCCATCTCCGGTTCAGGCTAACCCAGCAGCGACGCTGCATTTTAATTCAGCTAAGCCAGGCCTCTCCGTCCGCGGGCAGGACAAGCACAGGGTGCCACGGAAAAGGCCTCTCTCCCGGTCACTGCGCTCCCGAAGCAAACACAGATTGAAAAAACCCCAAACCCGCGACGGGACAAGTGCCAGCTTTTTAA